GGGCTGGAAGTGGGGAGAGTCATTAAGAGGGTGTTGTGACCATCCAGGCCATGCTTGGCTGGAACTCAGAATCCAAGAGTGGGTAGCACCGATGGGAACAAAGAAGGAAGACCAGCACAGGGGTTTGGGCAGAATAGGAAGAGGACTCTGCTGAGAGGTGGGTGGATGTGAAGGTGGGACAACTGATCCTCCATGACACATTTTCTAGGCTTAGTGACTATAGAGACCTCAGCCTTCTCATTGCAAGCGCTTAACAGCCATTTCCTTCACCCCTTCTCTTCATTCACAAAGCTGAACCACACTATCAGGGGTCTCCAGAATCAAAAGATTCTATGTGACCTCACCAAAAGGGAGCTCTTGTAATCTCCATTCCCCAGGTGAAAAATCTGCAGCTCAGCAAGTTAATAACTTTCCGAGGTCGCACACCTTACTCATGCCAGGATTTTAAAGCATGGATCAGCCTCTCTCAAAGCCATCACTCTTAAACTATGCTACAGCCTCTCTCCACTCCTCGCCCCACACGGGGTCCCAGAATAGTCTCAAGTCTCCCACGTTCCAAGCCATTGCCTGAGACTGGGCAGGGATAACACTGGCTTTGCTGGAAACTTCAGTCAGGGCCTGTGCCCCAGCCTGTGCCTTCCCCTGGTCTTATCTAGGGGGCCTGCGCTCTGCCCTCTAGTGGCCACTGCCTGCCTTGTTCTGAGCTTTTAAGAGAAAGGAAATTGGAGTTCCTACATAGAAGACAAGCCTGCATATTTATAGCATCACACCCTGTAAACAGGAAACATCTCAGTCTTAGAGAAGGAGCCCAGCAACATAAACAGCATATTGCCATCGAGTTCCTGCGCCCATTCAACAAACAATTTTAAAATATATATATACATATACACCCTCACACACATTGGAATGTCAGCTCCCTGAGACAGGAATTTCTTTTGTCTGACTTGTCTGATGCTTGCTGATGAATCTCAAGAGCCTATGCTGGTGGCATTTGCATAGCAGACATGTAACAAATATCTACTCAATGTGGAGTAAATGAACACCTATTTCCGCATGTGTATTGTATACCAAGCAGTTGATGGGTACATTTTCTCTTTTAACCTAACAATGACTCAAGACATATGGACTGTCAGAACACTCATTCCTAACTTGTGGAAACTGAGGTACAGAGAGGATAAGAAGCTTGCCAGGTATGGGGAACTTCATAGACCCAGTCTTTATCTACTGGGCATAACAGTACCTCCTGTATACATCTGCTGTGTCCCAAGTTTTGTATGTGGCATCACCAACATTTAGGCAAAAGGTAGTAGCATCTTCTCCTGAAGAGACCATCAGGCATTTTTTAGCCATGTTCTGAGTTTATGGAATGGAAGGTTCCCTTTCCACCGAGCTGTCACAGAGATCATCAATGGAAGGAATGTCACTCGCTAAGCTGATATGCAGGGTGCCTGACCATCAGTTTCATCATTGCTTAAAGGAAGGAATTGAGTTAGGATCCCTGCCTTCCCTTCCAACTTCAATATTCTACCATTCCTGTGACTCTCAGGGAGCTGGATGTGAGTGGAAGCGAGGACCACTTGTTACTAGGCAACCAGCACCCACCTCACCCATGTTGCCATGGTGATGAAAGTTGGGCTGATGGGATTACCAGCTCCTGCTAATTGCATATGAGCACTCAAGGTCTGTCTCTTTCTTGTTTGCTCACTGGCTTTGACTTTCTCATTCTTCTAGGAACTATAGAGAGTTATCCTCCTCTTCTCCATCTGTAGTCTGCCTGAGGCAGCCCTGCTGTAATGGAAAACAACTGGAAGTGGAGTGTGGCTGTGCTTCTGAGTAGCTGTGTGACCTTGGGCAGGTTGTGCAGCTTCTCTGGGCCTCCATTTCCTCATTTGCAAAATAAAGGTGTTGAAACAGTGATCCCTGTCTAAGGTTCTTCCTGGCTCTCAAATCCTTTGATGCCTAGGAAGCATGTCAGGAGAACGGACCACACTGTTACTAAGCAACCAGCAGGCACCCTGCCCAAGTTGCCTTGGTGACTGGATGCTGGAGGGGAGGGGAATAGCTGTTGCAGCTAATTGCTTAATTATTTATGAGTGCCTCAAGTCCTTTTTTGTTGTTTTCGTTGCTAGGGGCTGCGGGGTCACCTTCTCTTCCTCTTTCCTGCCACCCCAAGTCATCTGCATTGTGTGTTATGCAGTGGGAAAGCGCCTTGGCCTGGACCTCAAGCTACCCACCTTCTAATCCTGCCTCTGTCATTTCCTAGCGCTGTGGCCTCAGGTAAGTCACCTTAGCTGGGCCTCAGTTTCCTCATTTGTAGTCAGGTTTGCGTAGATGATCTCCAAGTTTCCTTTCTATATTAAAATTTTAATTTCTGCCATCCAGTTATAGAATGGGTAAGATGAGAGAAATTTCCTAATTTGTTTTCATCTAACAATGATTCTGAGGAGCAATAAGAATAAAGTCTCTTACACATGTTAACAGGAAGGCAATGAAAGTTGCCCCCTTTCTTAACCATGTTGCCTGGTCTTGTTAATTAACCTTAACGTCATTTAAATTGTAAAAATTTATTTATATAATACCAACTTCCCAAATTGATTTGAGGGCTTCACAATACAAGATGCATATATGCAGTTAGGCCATTAAAATAGAAATGAGAATAAATATAAAAATAGTGATGTTTCTTCATTGATTAATGTCTGTATTATGACTGAGCAATAAATGTGATTTTGAGCTTCCTGGAAGCCAAAGTGAAAACAGAAGGAGGCATATAATCGCTTTTCAATGAAGAAGATTGTCAGACTGATTCTAATCCTAAATTTTGAAAGGAATTTATCATGGGGTATATACTTCCTTTTATAGAAACTACAGATACTTTTTTAAAAAATAGTTCTTTCTTACCATATTATTAAGGAAGAATCCAAATTTGACAATTTGACTACTTTAATAATCATAAAAGATTATTCCCCTCCACCAGTTTTATACAGATCAATGTTAGTAAGCATAAATTTTCAGAATCAACTACTCATACTACTCATAAGTCAGTTACATATAAATTCATATAACTACTTTGCAGAGCAATTTGGTACTATATCTCAAATTTTTAAATGCACCCAGCAATTCTTCTCCAAAGTTATTCTGAGATAAGCTTGTACAGATGAGGAAAGACATAAATATGGAAATACTCATGGTAGCATTATTTATAGAAGAAAATGGCTAAAAATCACATAAATGTTGAGGGCTAGTGAATGAAATTATAATGCTTCTTTACAATGACTTACTTTGTAGCACCAAAGATAAAATAGCACCAAAGATAAAGTAGCTCTATTTTATTTTGATATGGAAAATCTTCAAAGATATAATGTTAAGTACAATAAGAAGGTACAGCATTTGATAGTAAATGATTTCTTTTCTGTTATAAAAAGGTATAGATATAAATCTAGATACATTCTTGTATTCACATACTTGCATTTTCTGGAAGGAAGCTGTTAACAGTGGTTTCCTCTGGACAGGAAGATTGTTAAGCATTGGGAGGGAGGGAGACCTTCTTTTGGGGGCTTACCTTTACTATCTGGGCCTGTTTGTTTTCCTTGAGAGCCTGGCAGTTGAATGCCCAGTCTGGACTCTGAACACCTGTGTTCAAATCCCACCTTTAACATTACTAGCTGTGTGACCCTGAGGGTAACTTCTTTTCCTCATCTGAAAGATGGGTGAATAGTAACTTCCTTATTGTATTGTTGTAAGGGTTAGACAGTGAATAAAGTGCTCCGAACAACCTAAACAATGCCATACAGTATTTTTCTTGAAAAAAAAAAATACATCTACCCAAATGGAACCCATCTCAGTGTAGAAAGGACTTTATGTGGAATGCAAGTTATGTTTGAAGCAGGGACTGCAAAGCACAAGTCCTGATTTCATTGTCATTTTATCCTATCTTGGATACCTTCTGGGGAGGGCATCTACCCTACATTCATGACAGCCTGTCACAATGCTATGCAGCCCCTGGATCCATCTTCTGGCCCATCCCATTGGCCAAGAGAACACATCGGAAACCAGGTAGACATCCACATCCTCAGCTTTTATAAAGGCCAAGGAAGCACTACCCTGAAATTCAGTTTTAAAGAGGGTGTCCAAGATCACACTGACCATGATATATATACCTACATACCTCACACCTGTTCTTTATTTTGCAAGAGAGTAAGAGAGCCCTGGGGAGGGGCTGTGCTAGCAGGGTTCCTCTTCCTGTGGCCCACAGTGACTTCCAGGGTGTTGAGCTGCTAGAACCTTTGTGGTGTGCACTCAGAACTATCTGCTTTTCTCCCCTCTCTGTGCCTGGGCTTTGGGGCAGACCTGGAGGACTCTGGCTGACTCTGAGACGCCTCCTTGGCTCCACTGTGGGCCAGACTGGAGCCTCTCACGGTGGGGCCTTGGTTGCTCCAGAGAGGTAGGGAGGGGGCTCTGATCCCTTCAATCAGCCAAGCTAGGAAACTTGCTCTGCCCATGAGGAAAGCCAGGGTTACGCGCTGCAACCTTGTACCCTAAGTCGGTGGTTCCCCATCCCACCTTCTGTCCCTCTGGCCTCTAGGGTACTGGTGTCTCTTTATCCATGTGGCCATTGGTTCCCCTCACCATCTATCTGTCGCATCCAACTGTGCTTCCATCTGCCCTTCCAGTCCTGCAGCCCTCCTTCCCACCTCCAACCATCTGTCTGCTTCCCACCCAGGCTTCAGACTGCTGGTATGTCCACCCATCCCGCCTTCCACCGACCATCCCGCCGCCCTGCAGCCTGGCCGCAGAGCCCGTCCCCGGCCGATTCTCTGTCCCACTCGTCCTCAGGCCCGCCAGTCCCCGGTTCTCCCCGGGTCCCCGCCGAGCCCGTGACCCCCTCCGGTGCGGACCGGCGGGGTTTGTTGGGCGGCGCGGCCCTCGTGCGCCCAGCGGCCGGAGCGCGGTGCCGCCCGGGGCTGGGCGGGGCCGAGGTGACTCAGCCGCGCTCCCCGCGGTCCGCGCGTCCGCCGACCTCGCAGCTGGGCGGAGAACATGGCGCAGCCCCCGGCCGCCGCGCCCCCTGCCAGAGCCCAGGAGCCGTCGGGACCCCTGGACGACCCCGCCGCCGCCTCCGAGCCGCCGTTGGGCTTGCAGCAGGTGTCTGCACTGCGCCCCGAGCCGGGCGGGGTCCCGCTGCACTCCCCCTGGACCTTCTGGCTCGACAGGTGAGGGTCCCGCCTGGCCCGGCCCGGCCCGCGTGCGCCGCGGCTTTGTCTCGCCGCTGGCCCAGCTCGACCCGAACCGACCCGAACCGACCCGAACCGGTCAGTGGCGCAGACCCCGGCTGTGGGCACTCGGGACTCCCTGAGCCGGGTCGGCAGCCGCGTTTGGGCCGCGCTGAGAGGCTCCGTGGCGGCCTCCACTCCCGGCCTGGAGCGCTGAGCGCAGCCCCAAAAGTTTCAGTAGCGCTGCTTCCCCCAGATTCCCTTCCAGCAGAGCGCCCCGGGCGCGCCGTGGGCGGTGGTGGGCGAGTCGTCCTCGCCGAGCAGTGGCGGCTGTCCTGCTGCCCCTGCAGGCTCTTTGTGGCTCCAGACACAAGCGGAGCGGTGACAGCAGTCGGGGAAAGTTGACGGGCCTCTGGGGAGTCGTGTGGTGGTGGGGCTAGGACTGGCGCCAGGGTGCTGCCGCCTGGCGCCTCTTCACGTTCTCCCTCACCCCGGGCAGGTATTTATCAACCTTGGAGCCACAGCCCGCTATGCGCTGGGGTTGTGTGAGGAGAGCAGCTCACCTTGCCTGCAGAGGAGGGCCTTCCCGGCTTTCTCACGGGACGCTCTGGTGCCATCTCCTCGGAGGCCTCCGTGGCTGTAGAAACTCGCCCCATCTTCATAATGCATAACATGATCACATTCTCTGAATATGAACTTATTTTCAGCCTGTCTCCCAGCCCTTCAGCTGTGGATCACAGAGGAGGCCATTTATTCAACCCCAGTACCTACAGCTGTGTGTAGGACACACAGTAGGAACACAAATTTTAACAAGTGAATAGATGATGCATAGCCCCTTCTTTAGTATCTGTCCTTGGTGCCAGGAATAGCACTTCAAGGTGGTCTCCCAAAGTTTATGAAAATTTTGGAACTGTGTCTTCCATGGTTAAGTGTTAGGAAATGTAAATGACAGTTTTCTGCAAAATGTACTTAGTAAACACAAGTTAGGTTTCGGAAAGCTTTGCATGGATGAAGTGCCTGCAAGATTTTTTAAAAGCAATACTCACCTTTAAAGTGGAGACAAACTCATTCTTTCTTCTTGTTGGAACTAGCAGTCATCTATAAGAAGTGACACTTGGGGACAGTTTCTTTTCCGGGACTCAGAAGGTGGGGGTAGGGTAGATGGAGTGAGTCTCGTTTTGAAAGCATTTTCACTTTCGTTATGTAATTCTGAGACATTTTACTGACATAACTTGTGTGTGTCTGTTTTCAAAGGCATGCTATAACTGTGCTGTTGTTACCTGCTATCTGTTTTCAGGGTATTAAACCTGAATCTGTGGTTTGTAGATATGGATGACTGGTGGAAAGAGTATCAAAAGAGTTTTTCAACAGGCCAAAATTTAGTCTACATATGAAAACAGCACTGGAATGATCTAAGATATCAGTGTTATATAACAACACAACACTTAAAAAAAAATACCTAAGATTATGTAATTCCATGAAGACACAAACTACATCTTTCTTATTATTGATTAGCACATTTTTTTCCTCTGAAGGTCTATAATCAAGTGAAATATGTTATTCCCACAGTGCCCAAATCTTTAATAGAAATGTATATATCCTTTTAAAAATTATAATTGTTTCAGTATTGTGCATGTGAATTCATGTCTTTTGATCAGTCATTTCCTACTTTTTATTGAACATTCTGTACTTCTCTGGGAATCATATACATCTCCATATATATCTCCTACCACCTCCTCAGAGTTATGAACACCTTATGTTCTAGAAGTTAATTTGTAACTTTCTTGCAAAGAAAAGCAACATTATAGAGAAAGTACTGTCCAGGGCAGCCTTCACTGAGCATAGTTCTGTGTCTGCCACTGATGAATCCATTGGCCTCCTGGTACTTAAAACTCCAGTTTGGCACCAATCTCCTGGCCTGTTCCACCTTTCAGCCACTGTATGATGAAGAATGAGGTGCCTAGCTTCCTCATGCACCATTTTCACTGTTTGTTAACTGAGGTTAGTCCTAGGATATATCCCTTAGTACTGCTCTGAGGATTAAATGAGAACCATGGATGTGAAACACCTGGCATAGAGTAAGTGCTTAGCAAGGTTTAGCCATTAACATTATTCTGTGTTTCCAAATTACGCGCCCCTCTCATTCACACCCTTCATCCAGTCTCTGGAGGGGCTCATCTGAATTTGATAGAAGCTGGCTTCCTCAATTCATTTCCCTCACTGAGTAACTTGCAGAATCTTTTAGTGGAGTTATCTGCCTTTTCAGTAGACATATCCAGAAAATTCTTATTTAGTTAAAAAGAAAAAAGACTGAATGGCTAAGAGTTTAAGCAGTTGAGGGGCATAGGGATGAAGCATTTTTGGGTTGGGGTATACGATGAAGAGGTTTCTTCTTCCCTTTTTCTGGATATTTAAAACCATGGTTGTCTGAGGCCGCTCTGGTTGTGTGTCTCTAACTGCTTCTCCTTCATCTGGATTTTTTCCACAGGGCTCAGCCCAGGTCTGCTCTGCTCCACCTACCCAGTTCCCCTATCCACTCACAACTTCAGCTGAAGCTGGTAACTGCCAAAACTCTACCCCTGTGGATCCCACCGTTCCTCTCTGTCCCCATGTGGGTGTCTATTATGATGTGTATCCACATGGAGCCTCTTCCCAGCCACCTCCTCACCTGCCCTCCCACGCCTAACCTCTGTGCATCTGAGCTCAGATCTGAGCAGCTAGCAGCACCTCCATCCTCCAGGTGCTCAGTCACAACCCTCGAGTCCTCTGTACCCCGCTGTCTCACTTAGAATTCGCTAGAAGAGTAAATCTGATATATGCATGATATAAAAAGGATTTATGAGGAACAGATTTAATACTATATATGTATCTGGAGAGCCTGCCTGAGGATCCAGTCAGAGGGCGAAAGCCTGGCGCCTTCTGCAGAGTCCCATGTGAGTTCGTATTGGGAAGCTTAAGGATCTGTGCTGGAAGCCTGGAGATTATGTATCTAGGCTACAAGCCTTTGGGTTGGTGCCATGCACACCCATGGTGGGCCTTCCATCTTCAGTAAGTCAGTCATCCAGACATAGTGCTGACCAGGGCCTGCAGAGAGAGGGACATTAGGTCATTCTTATTCAAGTTGACACCACAAGTAGCTATCACACCGGCCACCTCCTGAGCAGAAGCCACAGTGCTCAGAGCAGCCAGAAGACTGCACTCTTCCTGCTCCTGCCCCGCCCTCCTTTCTCCCCTGTCGCTCTTCCTCCAGCTTTTGCCTTTCAGTTCATTGGTCTGTCCCCAACATTCCAAGCACGGGCCTTTACCATGGAAGCTGCTGCTCCTTGGAACACTCTGCCCACAGCCATCTGCTCAGTCTGTACTTTCCTGTCCTCTATGCCACTGCTTGAGTGTTGTCTCAGCCAGACCTTCCCTGACCACCAATGGAGAGTGCAGTATCACACATCATGAGACCCTACCCTTTCCCTCAATATCACAGGTGGTGTTCAGTTCTCCCCACTGAAAGTTTACCTTCCTCTGTGGTGCTTTGTTTTACTCTGATGGTCACTTGTACATCTCATCTCCATCCCTCAGCTCATTCTGAGTTCTGCACACACACTTCTGAAGGCCAGGGAGGTCCATAGTCGCTGTTAGTGTTGTCTTCATTATTTAGTAATGGAGAGATTTCTTTCCACTGGCTTCTGCCCACCACAAGTTGGTTCACAGGCCCACCATGTGACCCATGTTTCAAAGTTGGAATTTCTGTTGGATCTTAGATTCACCCAAGTACCCCATTCCACCCAACTCTGTTCTCCATGTTCTTGATGACCCCTCAGAAACTTAGCTATCCCCTCCTTTACGTGTCCCTCTCTCTGCAGGCCCTGATCTCTAGCCCCATTCATACACCAGCCTGCTGAGCTGCCTACCTGCTCCCCAGCTCTTCCTTCCTCCAAGCATCCCCCACCTTGGCTGGAGACAGCTGAACACTGACCTGGTCATCCCAGAACTTTCTCACCTTCTCTTCTGCCGTGCAGCAGATTTTTACATGTGATGTCTCTCGTCACTTAAGGGTGCCTCTGCTGTGGGGTTGTGTGATCCAGAGCATGGAAAGGGGGAAGCTTCTACTTCTGCTAGAGCACTTCTGAGTGGTGGAATAGAGTGATTTGTTTTTAGACACAGGCCAAGTTAGTTTGAAGAAGGGATTTCCCAGCTTTTTGTAAAAAAAGGAAAACCACGGACTTACAGATCATAAAATTTATTTTGCTATTTTATTTATATGTTGCTATTTTAAGTATGAAGCCCACCCGTTTTTTAGCCCTGATATCTACCTCTCATCAGCTCTAAATTACCACTCAGTCTGTCCTCTGGCCCTTTTCTTGGATGAACTGTGGACTGAAGGAATTTGTCTCATGATGTCCCTACTGCTTGATATGCTTTTCTCCCCTTTGTCTAGCCTGAAAAACTTCTGTGCATCCTTCTAGGCCCTACTAGCAATGCCTTCCTTCTGTACCTGTCCTTGCTGCCTCTGTTCACCCCTTTGTGTCCCCACAGTATTTTTTAAAAAATAGATTAGGGGCTGGGGATTTAGCTCAGTGGTTCTGGCACCTGCCTCACAACCATAAGGTCCAAGTTCAAGCCCCGGTACAAAAAAAAAAGATTAGTGTTCATATTACAAAGAATGGATTTTCTGTTTTGACTGTAATACTCACCCTCTCTTCTGCCATGCAGCAGATTTTTGCTTTATGTCTCCCACCACCTAAGGGTGCCCCTGCCTCACATCTGTGACTCCTGGGAGTGCACATGACAGTGCCTGGCACAGATGCTTAATGAGTATGTGTGGGCTTCTGTTTTTTACCACAAAGATGAGCCATCCTATGCATCTGTCACCACCCCCACCCCATTCAGGCTTAGCTCCACCAAGTTTGCATGTCTCAAAGTGTAGTCCTTCATCCACTTACATCAGAACACCAGACTGTGCTTGTTAAATAGAGGCTCCCAGGTCTGCCATAGACCTACTCCAT